ACTTTTTAAATAAACTGTATTTTCTAATCTAACTTCTGTGTAATTCTTTGCATCTTTCATGCAGCACCAGATCACAGACCCCCATCTGGCCTGACCTAACAACATATATTGTACATTAATAGTATACAATTTTTAAAAAGTCTAATAAAAACATTTAAAAAAACCTAGCTGGGCGTGGTGGCATGTGCCTGTAGTTCCAGCTACTTGGAAGGCTGAGGCAGAAGGATCACGTGTACCCAGCAGGTCGAGACTGTGGTGACACCATGAGCGTACCACTGCACTCCAGCCTGGGAGACAGAGTGAGACTCCAACTCAAAAAAAAAAGAAAGAAAGGAAGTACCTTATATGTCTCAAAAATACTCACTTGCTGCATGACATTTCATTCTTGGAGATTCCTTCCTGTAAGCTCTCTGGACTCATTTGTTTTTATTTTATTTATTTTTATTTTTTTAGATTGGAAAATGTAGTTTATTTAGAAAGTAAATGAGAGAGAAAGAGGAAAGAGAGAGAAGAGATTCACCTCCTCAAGGCAGAGGAAGCCTAAGCCAGGAAAACATCATGGCAGCCATAGCTCAAAGAACTACATGGCAAGACCAGAGCTTGGCAAAGTAATGGCTGTTTTTATTTTTGGAGATGGGGTCTTGCTATGCTGCCCAGGCTGGGCTCAAACTCTTGACCTCAAGTGATCCTCTTGCCTCAGCCTCCCAAAGTGCTAGGATTACAAGCATGAGCCATCACACCCAGCTATGCAGACTCTTTTCTTTCTTTTTTTTTTGAGTTGGAGTCTCACTCTGTCACCCAGACTGGAGTGCAGTGGCCGCTCCCAGCCACCGCAGCCTCGACCTGCTGGGCTCTGGCGATCCTTCCGCCTCAGCTTTCCAAGTAGCTGGAACTACAGGCGCGCGTTACCACGCCTGGCTAATTTTTGACTTATTGTAGTGATGAGGTCTCGCCAAGTTACCCAGGCGGGTCTCGAACCCGTGGGCCCAGGCAATCCACTAACCTCAGCCTCCCAAAGCGCTGGGATTACAGGCTAAGCCACCGAGCCTGACTCAGACTCTTTTCAATGTATAAATGTCCTGTGCCTTTAAGACCATGCATGAGTGCTCACCACATACCTGGGACCAGGCTAAACCCTCTGAGGAATTCAAAGTGAAATAACATACCTGACCGAGCAACTCCCTATCCTTAAAGAATGTTTACAGCCAGGCTCGGTGGCTCAGCCTGTAATCCCGCGCCTTTGGGAGGCTGAGGTGAGTGGATTGCCTGAGCCCGCGGGTTCAAGACC